AATATTAATTAAACAAATATGATTTCTCCTTTAATATATTATTCTTATAACATATTAATAAATCATAATAACCTCTCGTTCTTTATTTATTTCTCCAATCAAGTTGCTTTGGTGAAGGCAACCCAAAAGGACCATGCACCATCGGGTCAAGTACATACCAAAATAGTTATGGACTTAGACACTAATCCAACAGTCTCCCACTTGGATAAGTCTAATAACTATTCTGCGTATAACTTCAGATCCTGATCTGCAATCGTAGCTTTCCAAAGCCACTGTCAACTCTAATCCTATCAGATACGCGTGTCCTTAAGATTAGGGATCATATATTCCTGCGATATCTTCCGACTAACTTTAGAAATTTGCCACTTTTAGCCCCTCTTTCCATATTTTCTTCATATTAACTTTCCCTAAAGCCCCGAAAACAATTTTAGCACCCGAAACACGTCCCGAGACCCCCGAGAAGCCCGAAAATTTTATCTTTTCGGTTTTAAAGCCCTACCTTCACAGAGCCCGGTTTTCAATCAAACTCCCGGTTTTCAACATAAAAAGGCATATTTAAAGCCGAAGTGTTGTCCAAATTACTATTTTAACCCCCGGTTAACTTAAGGTGAGTTCAATATATAGGAACAATTGTATGTTATGTGTTATATGTGCTATGTGCTTTTTAGTATTATCATTCTGAGTTATTTTCTCGTGTTATTCGCTATGTTTATAGCAATTATAATACCTTTGACGATGTGATCAGTGAAAGGACTTAGGTTCACATTGGTACTGGTACGTAACCTCTGGCCATGTAGAGCATGTCTCCATAAGAGAATGACTTATATTCTATGACATTGGCAAATGGTTAGACAGGACTATAAGCCTGAAATCTAACAAGATGTTAATCAGAAATTGCATGTCATCTATGCCATTTGGGCCAAAGCTTTATTGATGTATATCAAGAATTGAAAAGAATATCTTTGAATAATGTCTTTGATTGATATGAACGCTTATCACATGATCTCACATACATCTTGTTGTTCCTCTTTGCTTTGCCACATTGAAGTACATATATGGCATAACATTATATTGTATCTATTTTTGAACTCACTAAGCATCACCGCTTACCCTATCAATGTTTAACAATTGCATGTAATAAATAACTAGTATGTTTACATACTATTGAAAGATGTAGAATAGTTTGTAATAATACTTTTGTACTATTTTTTATGTTTGCATAAATTACAATATCCTGGGTAGTTATGTAATATATATATATATATATATATATATATATATATAACACTTTGTAATAAAAAGTTTGTATCCAATAGTTTGTAAATCCTTTATATCAATGTAAAATATTGCTTTTATGAATATGCAAATAGCATGTTTTGGAGTAATGATAATGTGAAATATGAAAGTTTGGGTTTTTCAAAAAAAAAAAAAAAACGAAAGTTAGGGTCTTTCAGTTTATCTTAAAAAAAAAATTATCATAGTCTTCTCCGACGTTTTACCCCAACATTTTTTTTGAGAAATTAAATATTCTCCTACTTTTTTCCCCACAAATCCTTCTATCCAATTAAATAGTGACATGTGTAAAATTTAATATTCGTTTAATAAAATTTAATGATATTTTAATATATTAATATGATACATCTCATCATTTAATTTGGTAGGAAGATTTGTAGGAACAAAAAGTAAAATAATATTTAATTTATCTCTTTTTTTTTTTTATTGCCTTGCTTCTAAATAATGCATCCAATTTTTTATACTAATTATATTACACTATAAAAGATAAGCGTTAAAAAGTTTGAAGGACTTGGGCCATCAACAAAGCTACCAATATTGGGCCGGCCCTACCAAAACGTCACCCTACACATCTTTTGTTCCTTTCCGGCTTTCTAATATGATCACCATTTATCTTTAACTCATATCTTAACCACACAATCAAGACCACTAACTAAAGCCATCTAAAATTGATTTTTCTCGTGACCCATTCTATATTTTTATCTTATCATGGTCCTATTGTTTCCCGATTGAGCTATAATCCACAATCAACAATATAATCAAATAGTGTTGCTAAATAATTTAAAATATTATAATTTTAAGTCTATAAAAAAGTTATATATATATATATATATATATATATATATATATATATATATATATATATATATATATATATATATATATATTTATATAACATTTATTAACCAATTTTGTAATCATTATTAAAAATTAATTGAGAAGTCATGAGTTTAAATACATGTGGTGAAAGGATAAACATCTCTTTTTTAATATAGTATTCATATATATATAATAGTTTAATAAATCATAGATAATAGATAATAGATAGATAATATATTATAGTGAATATATTTATCATTTGTTTTTGAAGTGTGAAATGGTGACTAGAACGTGGAGTGTGATTACTATGTGGGTGGATATTGGTTTGCCTAATATCAACACAGTTCAAGAATTGTATGCTTTGGTGGATTCGTTGAGATTATCTCGATCTATAAAAGGAGAAGGAGTTGAGGCGCTTAACATGATTCTTTATGCGTGATGTGGTTTTTCGAACTCAAAAGTTTTCATAATTAACAATTTTAGGACTAAGGATGTTTTTTATTTGGTTATTGATTATTCATATATTTCGTTTTTTAGGCTTTGTACTTTATTTGTAACCTGACTACTTGGCTTCAAAATCCTTGGCTTCAAAATCCGTTAATGCAATTCTTTTGTAAAAACGCTTAATGTTTGCACCTTGCAATTTAATTTGAAAATTAGTATTCGGATAGTACTGGTTCCTTACATATATATAAATTTTATTTTAAAAAACATAGATGAAGTAACAAAATTCTAGTTCGAGATTGTTTTAAACTACATTATGTATTATGCATCTTTGCTATGAGGATTACAAAATTTTAGATAATTTTAGTAACATTTATAAGTACAAAGATTTAATTCAAATCCATACTATGTTTTAGATATTCCATGACATGAAAGTAAGGTAGAGTAACAATAAAATTGCAACTCCTCTGTTAAGTTTTGAGTTGCTAAATTATAAACATCAATGAATTAAATTTTTGTTGACAACAATAAAAGATGAAAAATAACGAAAGTTCATTAAAACCAAAATAATATCGTGATAGAAAGCACATTTCTAGAATATAAAAATTGTAAGTTAATTAAAATGGGTAATTCTTAAAAAAGACATGTTCCGTTGCAAATTACATAAACCAAGATGGGCAAGATCACAATTTAATGTTTCTTTCCATCATGGAATGAATAACAAAGCACAACGAGACTAAGGAATGAAAGTAACAAATTTAACCCTTTAGTCTTCCATGATTTTTCTTTATTGACAGGGGCTAATTCGAAAACATGATTAGTTGAAAAGTAAATAGTTGAAGAATCAGTTTCTTGAATCTCGTATATTCGTCGATCTTGATCTTCAAAAATCTTCCAAATAGTGACAATACAATATTCACTAACACTTGCCAAGTATTTACCATCGTGACTGAACTTTAGGATTGAGACGTAACCATTGTGTGTTGCAAACTCTTGTGTGGCATAAAGAGAGTGATAATTTTTTTGATTTATTTTTTATGTGTGTGTACAAGAACCGAATGAGTACAAACATTGGTTTTTGAGTCTATGTGATTAGGCTTCAAAGTTACTGATTCCTCATATATAACAAACTAACAATTATAATTCTTTCCGTGATGACCCATGAGAAGATGAACTAAAACCCTATTAAACCATCTTCATGGAAGTATAATAGTGTTTTTCTCAATATGTATTTACCTGATCCATCCCAATTTCCAATTTTGACTCCATGATGCTCCTTTAAACCATAAGGTACCAACTCAAAAGCTATATTTGACCAAACAGTCGATGATGGCTGCCTACACAAAAAACCTTCTTGAAAGTCTGGATTTTGAGGCAAGACAAGAACTGTCTTCATTTATTTCATAAATGAAATCATCTTCACATTCCTCTTCTTCTTCTCTGTTTAAACCTATGATCTCAAGAATTTATCACGACGAGTTCTAACATGATTACTCCCAAGTCGCTCATGGTCACCCTTCTTGGTTTCAAATTTGTAAAAACATCAAGAAAGACATGAATAAGGATAGATGTTAAAAGTTGCCCCTAATAATTAAACTTGAATATCGGTTAATTCTCCCAAGATTTTTACTCGATCTGGTAACAAAATGTCCAACAGCCAATCGTGGTAGAAAATCATTATCAGCATCTATATAATGTTGATGAACCTTCAACAAACCATCTATTGCAGGTGGAATTGAAGCATCTGGTTCTTCTTTTGCATAAATCAAAACCTAAAATAAATTAACTGAAAACGGTAAGGGGACAAAAGAAGAAAAGAGAGAATAAAGGATAAAACCCCCAAATCGCCCTAGTCTCTCATGGGAGGGCTCACCTAATTACTCCAAAATTATCAAAACCTGGTATATGTTAGTAAACCTATAAACGTGTTGAATCCTATTCTCTCGACGAATCATTGTTGAGTCTTGTCTTTAATTAGGGTTTTGAGAGATAGATTAAGTGGGAAGGGATTTTAAGAGACATGATTAGCATGTGATAATATTGAGAATGATTTGACTTTGTAAATAAATTAGAAACTAAATGAAAAGAAATTAGGTATTAAATGGAGAGAAATTAGGATTTTTTGTAAACGGTATTAAAACGACAAGATTAGACAGTAAAAATATGGTAATTAATTCATCATTAAATATGTATCAGTTTATTATTTACAAAAATAAAAAATCATTAGAAAATGATAAGTGGAAAAAAATAATGTGTAAGTTTTTAAGAACATGTGAAAAGAAAATATAAATTAAAAAATAATTATAAAAACATTTTCATTTATTAGGGTAAGATAGATTGTTAGTGGTTAAAGGGAAGTGAAATCGTGAATGATCGTGGCAAGTGAAAAGTTTGTGGGGTCAAAGTTGATAAAACTAAATCTGCAGGGTCCAAAGAGAAATTATCCAAACATGAATCCCTATTCTCTCCTCCATAAACTACGATAAAAGCCATTCGATTCTCCACAACGCGCAGCCAAGCCGTCTCTATACCGCTCATTCAATTACGAAATCATCGACAATCGACTTCACTTTAAACCCTGGTAAGTTTGATATCTTACTACTCCGATTTTGCGTACGCTTGTTGATTTGTATATGGATCTGTATGGGGTTCTTGACGAAAATTTATGTAATTGCGTAGTTGCCTAGTTTTTCTCATCTTCCCGTGGAATCTTTTGGTGAATTGATTTGATTCTTTAGATTAAAACACGTAGCCATTTGTCGGTTGTTGAAATTTGATAGGTTGGGTTAATTTTCCGTCTAGGGTTTTGTACGGATGCATGCAGTTGTATCGAAGAAGTTTCAACGACAAATCCCTCGTTTCAAGCATTTCAATTTAGGGATTTTAGTCAGTATACGTTTCTAGTTGTGGAAGGTGCTATAGGATATGCATTCGGTTGCTAATTTACAGCCACCTAATTTCAAAATGTACCACCTTTTAATTAACTTTTGCAGCTATAAAATCTATAATAAATAAGTTTAGAATCCGCAACAATTCTTACATTTGCCAATGCCAAATTGTAGCTGCGTATGTTATTTCTTTTGAAGTTTTCCCTAAAGCCTCATAATGACAACCTTGTTTTTTGGTCTGTAAAATCACTGCAAAGCTAAACTGTTCATGGCTTGTTCTTACGTCCTTAGTGGATGCTCAGATGGATTATGTGTTTTTTTTACTTCTTTAAATTCACTTGTTACACATTAGGGTTTGGCTCCTTATTTCTCTGATGTTTATTTTATGGTGTTATTTTTGGGTTTGGATATATCATATATGAGATGAGCTTACTTGATTTAACAATTTCATTCGTTTAGAAAATGGCAGAGGATAGCATCAGTGAACATGAGACAGAGGCAATGCCTGAGAACTCTGTTCCAGTTGAAATTCAAGATCCTGAGAATGAGCAGGAAGATGCTGTAGAAACTCAAGATAATGAGGAAGAACAAGGTGGTGCTGATGTGGAGGATGCTGACATGGCAGGTGCTGCTGTAGTGGACACTGTTGCAGAAGGTGTTGTGGAAAAGAAATGGCCAGGGTGGCCTGGAGAGAATGTTTTCAGGCTGTTGGTTCCTGTGCAAAAAGTTGGTGGCATCATTGGTCGCAAAGGAGAGTACATAAAGAAAACTTGTGAAGAAACAAGGGCCCGCATTAAAATTCTTGATGGGCCTCCTGGTACTACTGAAAGAACTGTAAGTTTTTTTTTTTTTCAAGAAATTTGTTTCATTTTGTTTCTTTCTCAAAATACAAATGCAAATATCATGTAGAATTTAAGGTAATGGAGTTGCTTAGTTGTGTTTAATATTTAGATGCCTACAATTTTTTTTGAAACAATCTCTTATATTGTATGTGTGGTATGTCTCTGGTTCTTGGAATTTGATATTGGTTGTTTAGCACATCTGAAATGGACCTATTAGGAGCAAATAAAATTAAACCAACACAGAATGTCAAAATGGTATGTGACTAATGAGAACTTGAGAACCAAAAAAAAAGGGAAGGGGTTTGTTAAAACTTAAAAGAATGTATCATAAATAAATGCAAGATATATAATGATCAAAGAAACTGGAACGTTAAGATAAGATGTAAAATAAAAGTTAAATGTAACTAACAACCAAGAGATAACATGAGAAGAGTGAAATTACAATTTACAAACACGAAATAAGAATATGAAGAGTGAAGAATGAGAGGTTAAGTCTCAATAAGTTTATGTTATCCCAATAACTTAGATGAATGTGTGCAGGTTCTCTCAAATATAAGGAAACATTTCAATTCCAATTAGAAGACAACCAAAGATCCAGATTGCAGTTCAACATTGACATTGAGCATCAAAATCAAAAGTTACTCTGATTTGATTGGCTGGCAGGTAACTTTGGAACTGGATGGATTGATGTCTTGCCACTTGTTGTGCTAGTCAAACAAGTAAACAAAAACCAATAAAGACTAGGATCTTATTATCTACATAAAATCAATTAAAAACTAAACAGATATTAAAAAAAATGCATCCACATAAGTTAAGAAACAAGAACATCTTAAAAGGTAACAAGACACTAAAAACTTAGCAACAAAATGTAAGGTAAGGTATATAAAAACACTATTATGAAGAGAAACAAAACAACTATTTGTCTAAAACATGCAGCACTCCAGAATTTACAAGATAAATCTTTGGTATATAATATGAATCAAAACTTCATCATCAGGTGTAGTTGAAAAGTGGTGGCTAGGTGTGAAAGTGTAACTAACTAACTTTTTTTTTTTATGTTTTTCCTCTATTACTATTTACCATCCTTTTCATTGCTTTTTTTTTTTTTTTTTTTTTTTTTTTTTTTTTTTTTGTAATCATTGAATGAATGATTATACGATTCTTGTTGGAAAGTTTAATAAAGTGGTGTGATTGTTTAGGTGTTGATTTCTGCAAAAGAAGAACCAGATGCTTTAATTCCACCTGCCATTGATGGTTTGTTGAAGGTTCATCAACGTGTGATGGATGCTGACAGTGATCCTGCACGTGTCCAGCCTGTCACCATCTCCACAAGGCTTCTTGTTGCAGGGACACAAGGTGGAAGCTTGATAGGGAAACAGGGTGCCACCATAAAGACCATTCAAGATTCTTCAAATTGTAAAATCCGTGTCATAGGAGGTGATTCATTCATTCGTTCGGTTTGAAATTATTTGTTTTGTTGAGATGATAAATTTTGATGTTTGGAAACATGCAGAAAACCTACCGATTTTTGCTTTACCTGATGATAGTGTTGTTGAGATACAAGGGGAGGCGACAGGTGTACACAAGGCTGTGGAGCTGGTTGCTACTCATCTGAGAAAGTTCTTGGTTGATCGCAGTGTTATTGGGATATTCGAGATGCAAGTAAGTTGTTCCCTTGTCATTACAACGGAATCACCAATTCCATTCCATTCCTTTAATTCTGTTTTGAGTTTTTGATAGATGCAAATGCCAAATCCTCGTCAAAATCAAGAGATGCCACCTCCCCAACCGTGGGGCCCAGGCCCGTCTCCTCAAGGTGGTTTCCCAATGAACGCGGGTGGTTTCGGGCCCAATCAGTTTATGCCACCTCAGCAACACCAGTTCGACAACTTTTACCCACCTCAACCAATGGATAAAGTACAGCCTCGTCAGCAGGGCCCACCGCCTAGCTTTGGCAGGGATCCATCCATGGGACCACCTCACAGCCACACTTCAACTCCTCAACCACAGACACAGCAATCCATAGTCACAAAGGTATTATAATAATAATAATAATAATAATAAATTATAAAAGTTGAAAAGAAAAATATTGAAAAGATGGAAGAGTGAGTTGAATCATAAATGTATATGTAGGTGTCGCATAACATGCAGATCCCACTTTCGTATGCTGATGCTGTAATTGGGACATCTGGCACGAATATTAGTTATATCAGACGAGCAAGTGGTGCAACAATTGCAATTCAAGAAACACGTGGAGTTCCTGATGAAATGACTGTTGAGATTAATGGATCTGCTTCACAGGTTCAGACAGCTCAGCAGTTGATTCAGGTAAATAAATAAATACTCCAAAAGTTATCCATCGGTTATTATTGATATTTTTTTTGTTTGGTGGTTGGAATTTAGAATTTTGTGGCGGAAGCTGCAACTGCTGCTCAGAATTCTGCAAGTGCTCCGCCGCCTGCCCAAGCATATAATCAGTACCCTGGTCATGCTCCTCCTCCGGCTTACGTGTCTCAGCCACCCCCCACTGGCCATGCACCTCCTGCTGCTGAGTATGGTGGACCCGTGTATGGAGGGAATTATGGGTATTGATTGAAACCTCCTTCCTCGTGTGAGATTGGTTTCTGTTATGAATGAATGGGGAACATGTTGTAACAGGATATTGTTCTTGTTTAGAAATAGGTTAGATTGTTTGTTTCTTTGCTTGATTTGTTAGTGTTGAGAACGTTCGTTTGTCCTTTTATTCTCGATTGTTTGGAATGATATTTTGAATAGTGTCAACTTTTTCACTAAAACCATGACAAAATGTTCTATTTTAACCACTTTGATTTATCATAGCAACTGAATTATAATGGTTAAACCGGACAGAATGGTGAATATATTTTGCCATAACTTAATAATGACAATAACTGTTTTTTTTGCTTGAAGCGCTAAATCGGTCAGTTTTATTATTTTGGTCCTACAACGTCGGAATTTGTAATAGTTTTGTAACATGGTTGATTTGGGTGTTGGACATTGAATTTCAAAGTGGTTACCAAGGCCTGTATTTATTTCTCTCTTAAGGAACTACATTTAATTGTTCAAATATGATTATATTGGTCCTAGACAAACAAATAATAAGATATGAATGTTTAAAAGTTTATTTTCCATTTATATCTTTCAAAACTTGAGTACAAAAAAAAAAAAAAAAATACAATTTTCTTTCCATTTTTCTTCTCTCTTTGCTAAAGCTCACAAACTAGGCCTAAAGTTATAAAACCTGTAATTTTCAAATGCATGTTGAAAAGTGACATCTTTTCATCTATATACAATTAACCAGAAGTCTTAAACTGTTTTGAATTAAATGATTTATCAGGAGGTTGTAGACATGTAGCCAGTTGAACAAGAAAAACATGATAGACTCATAAAACACTCATAATTGATCGTTACAATTATCACTTTAGATATGCATCTGGAACCCATGTTGGAAAAAGAAAAATGAAATTACAGTGTCATAATTAAACAAAAATATTATAATAAAAACAATAAATGAGAATATGTAGCTATTTCATGACCGAAATAGCATTTAACCCTGTAAGGAACTCCCTCAGTTTATATGCTACAAACCTACAACTAGTTGTATGTCTTGACCTCTCTCATTCAACATAACTTGACCAAAACATATAACAAATAAAGACATAAAAATGGTGATTTTATAGATTTATTTGAGGTTTAAACTGTTGATCAGCTGCTAATTCATCAAGTCTGCTGATAATTTTCAAAGCTACATCACCATATGCTACTGAAACAGCACATTCTGGACGAGATACAACCACAGGGACACCTTCATCACACCCGCTTCTGATCTCCTCCTCCAACGGTATCTACAACCAGTATCAGTATCAATATCAGTAGTGACAATGCCAGTGACAGTTTGTAATAAACGTTACCTCGCCAACAAATCCTAGTCCCATTTCATCAGCTGTTTTGCGGGCCCCTCCTTTTCCAAAAATGTAAGATGGTTTGCTACAATGTGGACATTTGAAATAACTCATGTTCTCTATGAGCCCCAATATCTACAAATCAACTATCCATTGTCAATGCCTACTAAAATGTAAACTTAACTAACAAAGGACATAAAAGCTTGGAGATGATCATACAGGTACCGAGACTTTGGAGAACATTTTCACTCCTCTTCGAGCATCCATTAATGCAACATCTTGAGGAGTTGATACAATCAATGCTCCTGTTAAAAAACAAACAAAATGGTATCATCTTAAAAAAAAAAAAAAAAAAAAAAAAAAAACGATTCAAATCTCCAACAACAATTCATGTACCTGATAATTGCAGCCTCTGTGACATAGAGATTTGAGCATCACCAGTGCCAGGTGGCATATCTACCACAAGAATATCTAGCTGCCCCCACTCAACTCCTCTTGTCATTTGTTCTAAAGCTTTCATCACCTTATTATCAAAAGATGCTTATTATGAAAATATCCATTTAAATAGTTTCTTTTCTTCCAATAACAAAAGTATATCAAAATCTTGAAAAGCATAAGATTTATTAGAGACATGTACCATAGGACCCCTCCACACGATTGGAGCATCTTTCTCAACAAGAGACCCCATTGATATACACTTCACTCCATGGTTCTCAATTGGAATCATTTTATTGCCTGACATTGATAAAAGAAAAAACAAAAGATCCAAATACATTAGAGGTCAAAGTTTATTGTGTTCCTATAAATAAAGGCATTATAAACTTTAAGAACAAACAAAATCACCTTTACTTACTTCAGGCTTCCCATGAAGTTTCATCATTGTAGGGATCGATGGTCCATATACATCAGCATCAAGCAATCCAACACTAAGTTGGCACTTATTGGCTAGTGAAACAGCTAAGTTAACTGCAAATACGAAGTCAACACGCTACTAGTGATAATGTGTTTGTGGAATGCGAATGAAGATGATAAATTATGCTTTAACAATATCTATATCTTATTGGTTGATCAATCAGAGTTGGAAAAACTAAAATATTTGATCTGAAATGTTAAATTGGCAATCGCATATCTATCTGCCAAAGAAATGAGCAAATCCATTGATTAAGATATTCAAATTACCTAACGATCGGAACCCTAAATCAATGATCTACGAAAGCTCAACCACAAAATTTCCATAATCTGAGAAATTACCAGCAGTAGTTGACTTGCCCACGCCACCTTTGCCAGAAGCAACGGCTATGATATCTTTAACTCCTTCAATTTTCAGGCTTCGAGCATCAGAGACATTCCTACCCTCTGCACCAACAGCATAGCCTCTGAGACCTCCGAGATTTTTCTTTATCAATACATTTAAACAAAACAGAAGCAAATTATCAATTACCTGAAGTAAAAATTAATAAATTAGACGATAAAAGGAAGCGCCTTAGAATCTTACAGTGGCAGCATTGAAAAATCGATTCATGGGTGTTTTGAACTCGCAGAAGCATAAATGTTCGACAGATTTGAAGTCGCAGAAGCATAAATGTTCGACAGGTTTTTGTGAGAAGTAGAACTTGGTATCATGGGTTGGGTTTTAGGTTACAATCCGAATCCGTTTAAGTAGTTTGGATATATGTTTTCAAAATGATCATAAACCCTATATTTGTTCATTTTTTTTTTTTTTTTTTTTTTTTTTTTTTGGAAACGACAAATGATTAATCGGAAACTTACTCGCACATTTCAACGAACACCCCGGGTTCGAGTTCCTTTTACAGGGCAAAATCAGCCCCCATAGGGGTTTCCAGGGAAAATTTCCCCACATGTGACACAAGTTTAAGAGGCACCCAAATTGGGTTTTCCAGGGATTGAACGCTCGACCTCTGATCCCACGTGGGTATTAAACCCGGTACCTCTTCCTAGCTAGGCTGGAAGTCATTGGTCTATATTTGTTCGGTAGGTTGGAACCTCTATCATTCTATATTATTAGGCTATCCGGTATCAAGCCAAGAAGGCTACGCGTGCTGCCTACGTGGCAGCCCTAGCCACGCGTGAACACCGATCCAATGGGGGTAGATGTCTTGTGACGTGAAGCTGGCTACAGAGGAAGACGACGAATGCAATTGGTGGACATTTTTTTGACTGTTTCTTTTTCTTTCCTTTCTTTTGACCGTTACCAAGATTAAAAAAAAAAATTCAAACAAAACTTAATACACATATATAAATACATACACAACATATAAACAAACACATTTCCATTCACACTTTCAAACACCCTTTCAAACATAGATATGAATAATTTTGCAGGTTCGATTGTTTCATCTTCATCCGATGATGAAAGCTCTGATGAAGATGACTTGGTGTTGCACAAGTTGTTGTCTGCGGCACGCAATAGGATGCAACAAAGAGGTGAAAGTTCAAATACCGAGAAGAGACATAGAATTTCGATATATCGGGATCGTATGGCGGCACACGAGCTTTTGGTACGTGATTACTTTGCCCCTGATAGTTTGTATGGCCTATCAAAATTTGAAGACCGATTTCGTATTAGTAGAAATTTATTTTTACGTATTGCTAGAGATTTGGAAAACAATTATGAGTTTTTCCAATTAAGATGGGATGCAAGAGGTAAACGTGATTTTAGTACCCTACAAAAATGCAAAGCAGCCCTTAGACAATTGGCATACGACATAGCAGCAGATGCTTCAGATGAGTATCTGAAAATGTCTGAGAGGACTGGACGAGAATGTGCTTATCTTTTTTGTGAGTATGTCATAGAGCTTTATGGTGACATATATTTGCGACATCCAACTAGAAATGATATTAAACAGTTGTATGACACACATGAAGCTAAACATGGCTTACCGGGAATGCTTGGCAATATTGATTGTACACATTGGGAGTGGGCAAATTGTCCCAATGCATGGCGAGGTCAATTCACACGAGGTGATCAAGGCGTCCCGACTATTATACTAGAGGCCGTTGCATCACATGACCTATGGATTTGGCATGCATTCTTTGGTATGGCGGGGGTCAAACAACGACCTGAATGTGCTTCGAGCCTTTTCGATATTTAATGATATTTTGCAGGGTAAAGCACCAAACATGCTGTTTGTTGTGAATGAACATCAATATAATTATGGGTATTACCTTGGTGTCGGGATATATCAAGAGTACGCTACGTTTGTCAAGTCGTACTCATTTTCGGCCGATGAAAAACGAAAATTGTTCAATTTAGCACAAGAATCGGCAAGAAAAGGTGTGGAACGGGCGTTTGGGGTCCTCAAACAAAAGTGACACATTATCAAACATCCGACACGGTCATGGGATAGGGCGAAATTGACGAAGGTGTTGATTGTTTGTGTTATTTTACATAACATGATAATTGAAGAAGATAGCAGGGCTATTTGTATGTATAATCCGGAAGATATTCTTAACCCACCTGCAGTAATACAAGTTGGCAGTCCTGCATACTTCACAGGAGTTTTGGAAATACAAAATAGTGAAACACATCACAATTTATGTTATGATTTGACTGAGCATATATGGTAAAGGCAACATGATGGCGTTGACAACGACGGAGATGACGACGAGCAGGACAACGACTAATATTTTTATATGTTTTTTTTAAGTAATTTAGGTTTTAAATGATTATGTTTTTTTTAAGTATTGTAGCTTTTAAATTTTCTAGTTTTTAAATTAATGTAAAATACTTTTAATTAATATTTATGTTTTTATTTTTGTTTAATAATTATTTTTTAATTTAAGCTAATATTGTCAAAAAAAAAAAAATTAAAAAAAAAAAATGATGTTGAGTGGTAAACATTTTCCAAGGTTAGTGGGTTAGTAGTGGAGATGATGTATGACTTTTTGAGTAGG